CCATTTACGTTCAAATCTATCACATGCTGAAAATTTTTCTTTATGATAGATCAAATACCTACGCGTTTCTACAGACACGAGTGATGGAAAAGACAATTTTAAATAAGTTCTACTATAAGTAAGTCTCGCAGTTTCAACTACAGTATTCCATAATTCGCCGATCTCGGGAATAGCATTCACAGCGGAGTCTGTGTACAAATTTAGGATTTTGATCCGGTATCGTATATACAGGATTACGTATTGGTTTCCAAGACGTTATCATTTAATTCAGCTTTAGGTACGTTAATTCCAATATTCTCATCTTTATTAAGTTTAGATCGTATGATCACCATAACATTATAAGCACCAGAAAAAAGAATTCAATTCCAGATATAGATAGTTGGAATTCCGGGTTGTGGTAAAACGACATTTATTTTAAAAGAACATCATGACGGAGATTTAGTATTAATTTCCACAGCTGAGTGTGCAGCGGATATTCGAGAGAGATTGGATAAAATGAAGACCGTATTACCTTCAGATTTTAGAGAAAATTATAGAACTATCGATTCATATTTATTGCATAATAAACGTAATTGTAATGAAGTATGGATAGATGAAGTTTTGATGAAGCATCCTAGAGAAATCTTTTTGATATGTTTATTTACTAATTGCACCAAGTAACATATGCTCGGAGATCCAAATCAGATAGGTTATATGAACAGGATCGGTTCTGTCTGTATGAGATATGGTGATTTTAGGGCATTTTTTAAACCATCTCGGTATCTAAAAATATCTCTTATAGGTGTCCTGTGGATGTGACAGCTACGAGCTTATATAACAGATATGAAGGTGGAACAAAGTCTACTTCACAAATTACGAAAAGTATGTTCAGTAAAGCTTACACAGCTTAACATATTGTTATGGTACGTACTTCAACTAAAGTTAAGGAAGAAGAAATATATCCTCTCAACTACGGATGTCCAAGACTTGGACACGAAAATATCTCCGTTGACTGCGGGTGTCCAAGTGTTAGACATTTTTTACCCGCTCTTTTAATGAAGAAACAAAGCATTATGCGCTATTTCTAACTCATTCTACCATATGTCAATGTGTACAGGATAAAAAAGGCTAGCATAAAAACCCCACAGCTTATACACTTTAGTAGTATATTTTATTTAAATCATTCTTAAATGTCGTCCGTTCCTTGAGTCAGCCATTACTGTGATTGACGCGTGCTAACAACGAAGTTGTTTGTAATTATTTTGTATAAATTTATATTTATTGTGTGGTGAATTGTGTTAAAACAGTGTCTGGGTAGGTAACCTTCTTATTTGTAATCTCATTTTGTGTTTTATCTTATTAAGTACGTGAAAATCGTTTTTTAATACGTATGAAGCAAACTGCTATCTTAGAACTAACATGCTGGTTGAGGAAAGTTGACTTGAAATGTACGTAAAATTTTATTAATTTTATTAATATTTTTTGGCTGTCAGTTTTGTGTTAAAATATGTGTAATTGTTCATTGTTCACAGTTTTAGTACATTAAAATGAGGATAAAGTGCAATATTTTCAAAATTTTAATGTAAATACGCAATAGGTGCAATAGTGTCCATTTTTGTGACGTCCGCAGTAGTGAATTCTAGTTCTCTGTTTTGCGGGTGGCGAAAAAAGGAACTAAAGTTTGCCATAATGCATCAAGTTCAAATTCGGTTGAATGGTTAGAATGGTAAAGAATCTAGCGCCCTCGAGCAGAGAAATGGAGCTTGGTTGACTCCACGATTATTCGATGATTTAATAAAAATTGAATGTGGCATTTGGATATGTCATGTATGTTAACACAAGACTTCGGAATTTATTAAATCAGAAAATTAGAAAGTATTTACATAATATGCTTTTTAATATTTTTATTTTAATATTATTTAATATTTGAAATTTTTATTTTTTTAATTTAATATGTTGAGTAATTTTTAAGGCCACCTCAGACACATATTTCTTATTTTGTTTTTTTTTGTACGTTTTATCTGTATGTACTTTGCAAATCGTGTAACGTTGCGTTATGTATCAACCTAGAGCAAGATTGCTGCTACCCACAGTACCATTCGTAAATGAATTGTACTGTAGATACAGTAAATCTAACAAGTACCAGGAGCCTTTTAAACAAATGAGTACATATGTTACATATTTATTCAATTTTATACTTATGTCCATCCATCCATTTAGTTTTTATTGTTGCCTAGCTATAATTTGTTCAGCTAATTATTTCAGACTATCATCGTCGAAATTGTTAAGTTAGTTAAGTTACACAGCCTATTTCCGTCCCACTGCTGGGCCTTCCCTCACTTCTGAAAAGGTTTTAGGGCAAAGAAGTGTCCGCCGCGCTGCCCATATGATTCTTGGCGAACTGCACATGCCTTGGAAATTTTTTTGTATTTCTCAGACAGTCAGACTTCCTCATGATGTTTTCCTTCACCGCCGAGCAAGAGGTAAATCAGCACTTAAAATTGCAATTAATAATTTCATTGATGCCGGCGGGGATCGAACCCGGTGTGCTAGCATACTGTGAAATTTAACGCGAGAGCTAACAATCTGAGCTACCAGGGTCTCTCATCGTCGAAATGAATACTTAAGTTAGTTAAGTTACAGTCTTTTTACGCCCCACAGCTGGGCAAAGGCATCCTCTTATTTCTCAGAGGGTTTTAGGGCAAAGAAGTTTCCGCCGCGCTGCCCCAATGCGTGTTGGTGAACTTCACATGTCTTCGAAATATTTTTTTTCTTATTTCACAGAGATGCAGGTTTCCTCACAATGTCTTTCTTCACCGCCGAGCACGTGGTAGATCAGCACTTAAAATTGCAATTAAGGCGTGATTTAGACGATACAATTTTCTTATACATTCAAGTGCAATTATTGAATGCAATAAATTAATTGCGTTAATTGCACTTCAAAAATTGTACGCAACTGTTTACACGTGGATACAAGTAAAAAAATTGAACGCAATTATTGAATGCAAGTCTTGACAAAAAATAGTTGCAAATGTCTTCTGTTTAGACCAATACAATGATGTTTAGGAGATTATTGCTTTCAAGTTTTGACTTGTCTAAATAGAGAGTTATATGTGCGTGTACCATTTATTGGCGGGTTGCTTCAAGTATTGCACGTATTTGCGTTGTCAAATTTTTCATTCAAGTGTTGGAAGGTTTTGTAAAGAGTCTGTTTATTAAAAAATATGAGTCAAAAAGTGTTAAAATTTGGTTCTGCTGACTTAATAAAGTTTATTGAGATTTATCGCAGTCATGAGTGTTTGTGGGACACTGAAAATGTGAATTACAAGAATCGTGATGCACGTAGTGCTGCACTTGTAGCATTTTCACAAAAATTTGGAGTTGATGGTTTGGGACCTAAGGAAATTACAAACAAAATAAAAAACTTAAGAACGCAGTATCATGCGGAAAGGAAAAAGATAAAAGATTCAATGAGCACTGGTTCCGGCACTGCTGATATTTACAAGTCCAAACTCTCTTGGTATAATTTAATGGATTCTTTTTTTAAGGAAAACTTCTGAACACAGAGAAATAACATCAAATATGGTAAGTATGTATTCATGTAAATTTTGTAAAGTACAGTCAAGTGCATAATATTATAAATGTGAAACTTTTTTTTCATTAAAAAATGGCACTGTCTTGCCACTTTTTTCACTGGTACAGCACCATCATTGTTAAAGTAATGACAATAATTATCACGGATTGTTATAGCTTCCCTTGTACCATTCCTGTTGTTCTGTGATGTTATATTTTCAAAAGCTCCGCCTGAAGCATTTTGTTTCCAAGTACCAAGACGAAGACCACTTCTTTGACATTCTTCGTCTATAAAACCTGGTGGGGTGTAAGACGCAGGTGAAGTTTTCCTAAGCCAGTTGTGTAAAGCACATGATGTTTTCACTATGACATCTACCTTGTCTATACTTGTAGTGATTGGCTTTTCGAAAATTCGAAATCGGGATGTTAAAACTCCGAAAGCATTTTCAACGATTCTCCTACATCTACACAATCTGTAGTTATAGATTTTTTGTTCTCTACTTAAATCGTTACGGCGAGGATATGGTTTCATCAAATAAGGTTTTAAAGGAAACGCTTCATCTCCGACAAGTACTGCATTACTTGGCAAATTATTAAATATTCCACCATCAGAGTTTCTACCTTTTGCTCCCACGTCAATGTATGTGAAACAATAGTCGTGATCAACACAAGCTAGTAACACAATACTAAATGTACTTTTATAATTAAAAAAGTCTGATTCTGTGCCAGGGGGACATTTTACGTTTATATGCTTTCCATCAATGGCACCAAAGCAGTTGGGAAAATTCCATCTTATAAAAAAGCCCCTTATTATTTGATTCCATTCCTCTTCAGATCTTGGCACCTGTAAAATAATGAAATAAATGTATGTTTTTAGAATGATACGTCCCTGGCATCACAAGAAATAGTTTTTGAATATTTTGAAAATGAAAATACGGAAAATATTGAAAATGTTATAAATTCAAATATACAAGTCGTCGATGATGTGCTTCCGTTTCCAATGCCTAAAAAAACAACTAAAAAAGCAGGTTACATAGAATCGGCCTTAGATAAACTGGACAATATTGAAAAAAGAGCAAGACTTGAAAAAAAAAAGACGATGATTTGGACAATTTCGGAAAATATGTTGCGTCTTCATTGCGAATTTTGAATACTGAAAATAGCATACATGCTCAGGACGAAATACATGCAATATTATCAAAATATAAACTGCAAGATCTTCGAGAAAAAGAACGACAAAACTCTACTTCAATGCCAGAATCCCCGTATTCGAAACAAGGCAGCGAAGACACATGTAATTTTTTTTTCTATTTTAATTAAATATCTGATTCCGTAGTTCATATTTTGATAATAAATAAATATTGTTTATTTTTCGTTCTGAGCATAAATAGTAATTAACAATTTCTAATTATTTTGCTGAAAATATATGATTCTATTATAAAACTGTTTTATTTCGAACTCACCTTTATAAAATCTTCTAATACAGAGTAAATAGCTTCAAGAACTTCGACCAAGAATGTACTTATAGTACTCCTAGGTACTCTAAATAATTGTGACAGTGTACCAAACGAATCTCCAGTTGCCAAATATTTTAATGCTATTTCTAGTTTTGTTCGAGCAGGAATAGCATTACGCATTGTTGTATTTTGCCTTTGTATAGAAGAACCAATTTTATCTAATAAATAATAAAACTGGGTTCTGTTGACACGTAACATGTTCTTAAAGTCATCTTCATTTTCTATTTGTAATTCTACACAAAGATTGTTAGAAGCTCCAAGAACTCCTCTTCTTGCCATCCATTTTTTGATACAACACCTCTTTTTACGACGATTTCTCAATATTTCTTGTCTCAGAAGAGCAGCAACGATTAACACACCTTCACTTACTGCACTCATGTTGGCAAATGAAGAGAAAACTAATTGAATGCAAGAATCGCCTAAGAAATTTTTGTATGTGCTGTTTACACCAAGAAAATTTTGGCAAGCAAAACTTGCGCAAAAGATCAAAATGTTACGTACTGTTTAGACCATGCAGGTAATTTATTGCTTCAATTTTATTGTATGCAACAGGCAAGAAACTTGCATCATGTAAATGGCGCTTTACAATTTCATTATTGCTAGCGGGGATCAAACCCGGCTTGCTAGCGTACTGTGAAATTTACAGCGAGAGCTAACCATCTGAGCTACCACGGCTCTTCTGAGCCACCACGGCTCTCATCTTTGAAATGAATACACTTATAGGATAGGGTGACAAAATGCAGATGCATGTCACCCGTGACGACTAAGATGGAACGCCTCGTTTCCAGTAAAAAGGCTCTCGGGTTCTCTACACTCACCATACGAAACACAGAAGGATTACGCTATTATTTCACGCTGGTATTCGGTGAAAGCGTGGTCCTTCTCCGGTCGAGCCAGCCTATTCGTGCTACAACTATACTACTAATATAACTGCAGCATGGCTCTACCACGTATAAAAATGTTTTAATGGACTAGTACATGATGCACAAAAAAGTGCAGAATCGGACTTTAATTGTGGCATATTTTTGTATAATGCATAATAAGTGGGTTCTTTAAAAATATACATAATTAATATTTTTTTTTATTTCAGGAAGAGATATATTTATTTTAAATTTTATTATTTCGTAGCTATTATTTGTGTTAAGGACGCGTTTACAAAATGGATAGGTATAGAATCGCACTACTACATTGACAAAAGTCACACACACACTAGTGTACGCACGGTTGGCTGTGTGAATCGTAGTCAAATGAAATTATTTTGATAATTTGAAAGATTGAATTTGTTTTTCATTTCTTATACCTACCTCAGAAATATACTTCGATACGAAATATGAATACCTGCTCCAAAGACTGCTTGGCACTGGAAGCCCTCTACTGGTAGTGAGATGTTAGCTCTGGACTTTGAACTGGTTTTGTCAGTTATAATAAGACCTTACCTACCTGCGGACTTGATGGAGTGACCTGAAGGTGTAATTTGGTGATTACAACAGGAACTCCTAGACTAGTGGAACTGGGTGTGCCGAGTTTGGGTTTGTTTTGTTGGTTATGATGAGACCTTACCACCGGACTTGATGGAGTGACCTGAAGGTGTAATTCGGTGATTACAAGTGGAACTCCTACACTAGTAGAACTAGGTGTGCCGAGTTTGGGTTCGTTTTGTTAGTTATGATGAGACCTTACCACCAGACTTGATGGAGTGACCTGAAGGGGTAATTCAGTAACTACTGCTGGAATTTCTGAACGAGTAGAACTAGGTGTGCCGAATTTGGGCTCCGTTTTGTTAGTTATGACGAGTCCATACCTCCGGACTTGATGGAGTGACCTGAAGGTGTAAATCGGTGATTGCAACTGGAACTCCTAGACTGGTAGAACTAGGTGTGCCGAGTTTGGGTTCGTTTTGTAGGTTATGATGAGACCTTACCACCGGACTTGATGGAGTGACCTGAAGGTGTAGTTCGGTGATTACAAGTGGAACTCCTAGACTTGTAGGACTAGATGTGCCGAGTTTGGGTTCGTTTTGTTAGTTATGATGAGACCTTACCACCAGACTTGATGGAATGACCTGAAGGAGTAATTCAGTAACTACTGCTGGAATTTCTGAACCAGTAGAACTAGGTGTGCCGAATTTCACTCCATCAAGTCCGGTGGTAAGGTCTTATCGTAACTAACAAAATGAAACCAAACTCGTCACACCTAGTTCTACTAGTCTAGGAGTTCCATTTGTAACCACCTGATTACACCTTCAGGTCACTCAATCAAGTCCGGTGGTAAGGTCTCATCGTAACTAACAAAACGAAGCCCAAATTCGGCACACCTATTTCTACTCGTTCAGAAATTCCAGCAGTAGTTACTGAATTACCCCTTCAGGTCACTCTATCAAGTCTGGTGGTAAGGTCTCATCATAACTAACAAAACGAACCCAAACTCGGCACACCTAGTCCTACAAGTCTAGGAGTTCCACTTGTAATCACCGAACTACACTTTCAGGTCACTCCATCAAGTCCGGTGGTAAGGTCTCATCATAACCTACAAAACGAACCCAAACTCGGCACACCTAGTTCTACCAGTCTAGGAGTTCCAGTTGCAATCACCGATTTACACCTTCAGGTCACTCCATCAAGTCCGGAGGTAAGGACTCGTCATAACTAACAAAACGGACCCAAAATCCGCAACACCTAGTTTTACGTCTCAAGGAGTTCAAATAGCGGTCACCAAACTACACCTTCAGGTCACGCGATCAAGTCCGGAGGTAAGGTCTCATCATAACCAACAAAACAAGCCCAAACTCGGCACACCTAGTTCCGCTCATCCAGGAGTTGCAGTAGTAGGTAAGTTTATATATTCTACTTATTTTTAGCTAAATAAAAAACTGTGAGTATAAAAATAATAATTTTATCACTTGTCAAGTACTTATGTTTCCAATTTGTTTTTTTTTTCTAATATTTTGTGTATGTACAGCGATCTTTTTAGAATGAGCCGCTGCAAACAGGCGATACAGTGTCCACTCACGACGGCGGCCGAGCGCGGACTGTGGTTTCATCGAAATCTTTGTACAATAAATCAAAGCAGGCACCAACAATAAAATAGCCCTTATAGCAATAGATTATGATTCATCCGTATTACCAAAATATGTGAAAAAATGTGCATCAGTTTTTATTTTTTTTACGACTATTTGTGACATTTTGTTAAAAAAATAAACCCAGGGTTTTTTAATTGAATATGTCTGTCATCTTATAGTATTTTTTAAATTTTTTAAATATGTTGATAATAGACCAAAACATGTACCGAAACACAAGCAGGTATCGTTAATTTTGTAGAAAATGGCAACGAAAGTTCGTTTTTACAATATAAAAAACTGCTATTTTCAACAATAGAGTTACAGATGTTTGCAGATGAAGAACCAATCTATACATGGTAGTTTTTACTTATATTTGATTTGGTTTAGTTTTGTCACAAAATGTACCGAAAAACACCCTAATTTTGGTTGATTTGAAAACGCGTCCTTAAAGAAAATATGTTACCTTTTGGAGAAATAATGTTGTTGGTTATTGGAAATGTAACATAACCGCTGAGCACCTCGCGGCGGCTCTGTCACTCGACACGTATTATGGTGCATTGGGTATTGTTTACAAAAAACGTTATTTACAACTCTACATCAGCGGGAGTGACCCTTGAGTGGTTTTATGGTTTTTAAAGGAATGAATGAATCTTTATTTCTGTACAAGTGCTGTTAAAGTTTGTTTGCTCAAATAAAGTAATTAATTTTTCAATAAATATGGCACTTACGACTAAAATTTTGATATCGGCATTAAGAGTACTTTTCTAAAACTTAGCAAGACCTATTGAAAGATGACTGAATCATGTAAAGAAAAAGAGAGGTTCAAGACAGAATCATTATAATGAATATATATATTAATCATTATAATAAATAATATATATATTATAATGAATATAATATAAAATTTTATTTATTTACTCCTTATTGTAATCTTCTTGCTAATTGATCTCTCAACATTCTACCTCTAATTAAATCAGAGGTAGCTTCTCCTCTTTCTGTATAGCTTATTTGGTCACATTCTATTGTCCTTTCAAATTGCAGACCTAAAAATAATCGAAAATTAATAAGTTTACTATTTATAAGTTAGCTTAATATATTATAGTAATTTGATTTGAAATTAAGATACCCACCAATATTTTCCTCTGTGTCCTCAACACCAAAATTAATAATTATATTATGTAGCACAGAGCATGCTAAAATAATGTGTGCACATTTTACAGGCTTGTAATGCAGAACTCTATCCTTGTGCAGACATCGCCATCGATTTTTCAGCCTTGAGAATGTGTTTTCAATGACAACTCGAGCTTGCATATGTTTTTCATTATAATTATTAGACTCAGCGTTTAAAAATGGTGTCAGAGTTAAAATATAAATGTTGTCAATAATATAGATGATAGGTATTATTTAGTAATGTTTTGCTTAAAAACACTTTGTATAAATCAAAACATTCCATTAAGTTATACTGCAGATATATTACCCAAAAGCCAAAACATTTCTCCATTTCGATGCAAAGATTGCATATATGTGTTTAAATCACTGTTTTCCCATATAAAGGAATCATGATTTGCACCTCCAAACTTGGAATTGACACTTAAAATTCTATATTCATCATCACATACCTGAAAAGAAAACATTTTTTTATTTTCTGCCCCTTTTTAAGCAATCAATAATATCATTCAAATAAAAAGAACTTTAGATTTACCATTTGAACATTAAGGGAATGGTAGTGCTTACGACTATAATACAAATGTTCCTCTTCTTTTGGTGGGACAACTATTTTAAAATGACTTCCATCAATACAACCAACTACTCCAGGGATTCCATATTTTCTGTAAAATCTAACTTTTAAAATAAGTATTTACTGAATCAAATAATTTGCTTAAGGTTTTTTAAAAATAAGTATATATTTATTACCGTTGACTAACTGCTTGTCTAGCAGCTAGAGTATCAGGGAACCGAATATATTTATTAATTATATTTTTGTGTGTCAGAGCCTGGGGTAACTTCTTCTATGTACACACTGCACATTTTTTGTGATATGGCCTTTGGTAGGATCCAGTTGCAAAAAAGAATAGAGCAGTGAGCACCTGCAATTAAAAAGAGAACAAACTTATACTTGCACTTGTTTTAAACTTGCCTTGCAAAAATGTAAAAAAATTAATGATCGATCGATACACACTTTATGTTCCAAGGAAACGCGTTGAGAGGACCTAAGATTTGTCAAACTCCTTAGCTCTTTACATAAAAACTTGAACACTTTCTTGGAAAAGCGATATCTATCTTTGAATTGCCTCTCCGTGAGGTGTAACAAAGGGTTGAA